TATTTTGCAACTGACAACGTAATGTGTCTTCGGAGGTGTTCATTTTGCCCTTTACTAGTAGATGACATTGGCCATGATGACAATTTTGGTACTAAAAACTGAAAGAAAACATGGCTTACCTCGCAAGGTGCTTACCTATTTTCCCAGTGGGGATATTTTGAAATATTTCTATATACATGCATAATTAAATAAATGAAATAATAACAAAATCGTTGGTGCTCTCGATTCCAGCATGGCCTGCATTCAAGATGGATTGGAACAAATGAAATTAGGCGCGGGCAATCTCTCATTCGCAACAGACATCGACTTTCAGCAACGACCGCAAGCGAATAACGTAAACATCAACGTAACAGACAGTAGTTCCGACAATACCTGCCAACATCGATGGACGCCCACACATGGCTATCGCGACAAGGGTATCGGTGTGATGACAAGCCTACTGGGTTGTATGAAACCGATACTCTCTTTTATGACCAAGACTGGCGTTATCGAGGTCAAAGATCCAAAGGATTACGCCTGGGAAATACCATTTGAATGCATCACTGGGCTGGAGTGGCTGGGAAGCGGTGCACAAGGAGCGGTTTTCAGTGGAAAACTTAATAGCGAAATTGTTGCCGTGAAGAAGGTGAAAGAACTGAAAGAAACAGATATTAAGCATTTAAGAAAGTTGGATCATCAGAATATTATTAAGTTTAAGTAAGTAAATGAATCGATAAACATACGTGACGTTGTCTAATGTCATGCATTTCAATATTTATACAGGGGTGTTTGCACACAATCGCCCGTCTATTGTATAATTATGGAGTTTTGCCCCTATGGTCCACTACAAAACATACTTAAGGAGGAGAAAGTGATGTTGCCGTCTCGCCTGGTGTCGTGGTCGAAGCAAATTGCGCTCGGCATGCAATATCTGCACTCGCATAAAATCATACATCGTGACTTGAAGAGTCCCAAGTAAGTAGAAACTTTTTTGAAAAACCAAATCGCTCATATTTATTTCCAAAATTTACTTTCCCTCCCCCTCCCCTCTCCAGCATACTGATCGGTCAACAAGAGATAGTGAAGATCAGCGATTTTGGTACAAGCAAAGAATGGAATGAGATCAGCACGAAAATGAGCTTCGCCGGCACCGTGCCCTGGATGGCACCTGAGGTGATACGAAATGAACCATGCTCGGAGAAGGTCGACATTTGGTCCTACGGCATTGTGCTCTGGGAGATGTTAACATGCGAGATACCCTACAAGGATGTTGACTCATCCGCCATTATTTGGGGTGTGGGCAATAACTCATTGAAACTACCGATACCGTCCAGTTGCCCAGAGGGTTTCAAGTTATTGGTTAATTTATGCTGGCACACTAAACCTCGCAATCGTCCCTCCTTCGGGCAAATATTGTCCCATTTGGAAATTGCCGGTCCAGAGCTACTGCGTAAAAGCGACAAAGTCTACTTCGAAGCGCAGCAGTCGTGGAAGGAGGAAGTGCGTTCACATCTCAAGGAAATCACAAAGAATGGCACTAGCATACATAAGTATGAACAGGATTTGATTAGACGACGCACGGCCGAGTGGCAGCATGCGCAAGATATACGACTGGTCTATGAAGATAAGTTGGAGAAGACAAATCGACTGTATTTAGAATTAAGTGAATGCATGACTCAGCTGCAGGAAAAAGAGAAAGAGATTGCTATGTAGGTTTTAGAAAAAGTAATTTTGAGCATCTTGCATTTTACGTATCGATTTTCAGGCGCGAAAAACAACTACCAGGTTACAAGCCAACGCGTCGACTAGGCTGTACGTTGCGAAAGATACAAAATTACCGTAGACGGCTTAATGCACCTTTGGTAACACCAGGAAATGCTCAACAACAACAACAACAAACGTCAACGACACCAGACCCCGAAACTACGCCAGAGGTAAAAGGAGATGCTGTTTCTAAATCAAGTTGGTTTTAGAAATATAAAGCAACTTTATTTTTAAGTAAAACAAAAGTTTTGGGAAGCGAGTTTCCCAAAATGAGTTCTTTTATTATTATTACCTTCCTTTTATTAGCTCGGGATGTAACTATGTAATATTGATGCGCCTAAAAGATGCAGCGATTTCTATTCTCAAGTTACATACCTGATGACAGTACGAATGGCAATTATAATAGGGAGGTTTAAGTTGTTTAAACTCTAATTTTTATTAATCATATTTATAGTGAGAAACATCTCAAATGACTCTATAAGCCTTTGGGATCTAATTTTAAATATTTAGTATGGACTAGAGAGATTTTTTTTCCTGCCCACGTCTATATAAATCAGGACCGATAAAATACAGCTTTTACACTGTGAAAAAAACTTTAAAAAGCTGATATTAATGTAGAGCATTTTTGAGAGCTTAAAAAAGCTCTACCCGCATGCCTCTGAAGTTTACACAGCTACATATGTATTATTTGCATGGTGGGAAAATACCCATTTGGGTGCTAGCTAATTGGACACAGGGATGCTCGTAAAGGAACACTCCATGCTAGATCTATTACTTTTATTTTATTTCTGCCATAAAAACGTTAAGTAAGATATTGATAGTGGCCTAGGTCCATTTATAATATGTATATGTGGAGTTTTAAAAACTAATTATAGCTCCCTTTAGCATATTCTGAGTTATGAGTTATATTTTGTCAGAGTGTGGAACCTTCTCCAATCAACTATTGCTGAGGAAAGCTTACATACTTCCAGGTAACTGTAAAATATTCGAAGCCAAAATACTATGGAATGAAACTGCTGAGCTAATCTTGGCAATATCATTCAAAACTCTTCTTCTTTATATACATGTAGGCGCATCAGTCAACGCCTTTAGTTTAGTAGGAATTAGCTGAAAATATGTTCAAGAATTTCCAATGTCCTCTTGGTGGTGTTTGGGAAACTGGACCGACCTAAAACATAATGGATTTCCTTCGAAGTTTTCTTGGACGTATACATTCTACCGGCAGAGACCATTGACGATAAATGCACAGAAGCTTATCAGTAAATGACTTTTGAGCTTAAACAAATGCGCTTCAGATTTATGTAGGACACTTCTTTGAAAACTAGAGCAGTCTAGCGCTCGTTTGAAGTGATGATGGATTCGTCAATATTTCAGTTTTAAGAAAGTAGAATGTTCGGGATGGAGAAAGCTCTCCATACTATAAGCCTTCATTTCTCCGAGCGAGCTGGTTAAAAGTAGCCCACAACTCGAAGTACATTTATAAAAAGTCCAGCAAGATATAAATTTCAGTAAGCACGACACTAGATCAGTGGCGATCAGAGAGAGCTTTTATTCTATGCGCGCCGATACAGAAAATTTTAAAGACTTCTGCCCGCGGGCGATGTTTTGTGAATCACTGTCCTGCGTTTTAAAAGACCAACTCGTCTCAAAATTTTCATATGAAGTATATAATACATTTTTTGACTTGGGTCCATATATATTATCATCCACAGAGTCCCCTTAAAGCTATGCTGTACGCGCAGGTGATAAGCTTGAATCAGACAAAATCATATTGCGTGCCCACACAGAAGCTGAAGAAGAGCAGACATAGGCGAGTTGGTTCTGGCAGCTTTGCAGCTGTGCCCAAGTATAGTCCAAGTCGAGACCGACGCTACCAGAGCGAGCCAGAAAATCGTAAGAACGTCAAGTTGGTGGATACCGAAACACAAACCGATGCCATGGATATTAGTGAGACAGACATTAGCCCAAGCGCCTGCTATGCAATGCGCGATATCTCTATGACGCTCGCAAATGACAGCGGGCTGCCATCTTACGAAGTTCTATATGCAATGGATCGCATAAATCAACGCCAGTTGGCAGAGCCACAGATCGCTATGCCCAGACCACAGCAGCTAATACACAATGTAAAGGAGCAACAGCAACAAACCGATGTGGTGCCAGCAGGAGAGGTGTCCGCGGTGGCGACGCCAACTAGTCTGAATGGCAACTCCATGACCCCTTCAGATGTGACTTTCCAAGATGCATGCTCTAGTCCCGATCAACTGCTCGACGATGTAATCAACAGCAACGAAAGACTTGACATACCCGATTATTGCAGTTCGAATGAGCACCTCGAGCGTCTTGGCGAAAAGGTGATAAAATTTATCAACGAGAATCGACTGAGCATACAAACTACAACAACGGGCCTTAGTAATCATGGTGAAGTGTCGGCTGCTACGCGCTTGCAAGCTGACAATGGTAATGAGCTGGCGGGCGAGAGTTTTGGCACAACCACGCAAGATACGATAAGGGAAGGCTCGATGGAGCGCTCGACGCCGAAAACGAGCAGTGTACGACGAAAACAAAAGCAGCAGCATAGCGCGGAGAAGAAGATGCGCGCTGAGGAGCAAGCGCAAGCGCACCATAATGCAAATGGTGAATCGAATGAAGATCTCTTCGATGATAGTTGGTCAGATGAGGAGGGCGAGGATACAGACTATCACTATGGGCTACGAAGAAGGAGGTAAGTAAAGGTGATATGCAAAGGTAAAATAGGTACTATTTCCTTTCTCTCTCTCTCTCTCTCTCTCTCTCTCTTCGTAGCATTGGTCGTCTGCCAATTGGCCGTGGCATGCGTGCACGTCGTTGCTACAAAATACCCATCATTCCGAAAATTCCCATCCACAAGCGAAATGTGACTGTCGTCTCGGATGAGGAAAATACCTCGGAGTATAGCCACTCACCATCCAGCCAACATTCAACACTCGAAAGTAATCCTGATGAAGTACTCAAACAAATGAAAGCCACACAAAAGAGCGTCGCGATAACTGCTACAACAACAGACAGCGAAGAAGAGGTCTCGTCGAGCAGCAGCAGTGAGGATGGTGAGGATGTGACAACGCTGCATGAGCGTAGCAGTAGATCGACAGCAGCAGGAGGATGCACAGCAGTTGCAGCTGCAGCAGCGCAACGACAAAGGCGTGCGCAACGCCAACAACAGCAACAACAACAACCACACAAATACATCACTGCAACAACAAAAGCAGCCACAAATGTTGCAGTTGCACCAGCAGGCAATGCGTTGCCTTTTTTACCGAAGCGCAGTGATGTAATTTCCATACCCACATACGAAGCGGACGGTGCTGTGGATATGGTTTAGGCGCGAGTACTGTAACAGCAAATACTAAGTAGGCTCATGAACTTTGCCTTAAACATAAGGCTGTAGTTCCATATGAAAACGCAGAAAACAGAAACAAAAACAAAAACAATAAACGTGAAATAGTATGTAAAATTATAAGCAGAAATTATTAACGCAAACAAGTTTCGCTTTAGTTCAAGTGCGTATGTATCTCACAAAATTTAATGTTCTGTATTAATAATTAAATCTACCAGTTTATTACTTAAGTAATCGTTACGAATAAGTGTACAACAACAAGTCAGGCATCTTGTCATAGTAATTAGTCATATATGAAGGCATACATACATACATACATACAACCTTAGAACAGAGGATTACATTTAATTACATTGTACTCATTACTTACATATATTTAAATGGTTATTGTATATTATAAGGTAATATTATTTAGCAGGAAAAAGGAGAAATTGTACACATACACACACTAGTAGCTTATGTTTAGAGATACATTACTAAATAGACTTGGTTTTACATTAGGGTTCCCAAATATGTTAAGCATTTCCAAGTAGTTTTGGTTGCTAACCTTCACCTGGCAGCAAAAGGAAAGTTGTAACCCAACTTTTGTTACTGCTCGTACAGTGCCCTCTCAATAAACGTAACTACTAAACTGAAGCGCAGATGTATATTTGTCAGAAACCCCAAATACAAACATTTCAAAAGGATAATCTGATATATTTCACAAAACAAAACAAAAAACAATATTTTCTGGTGAATGGGGCTTTTTTGTTTTTTTTTTTATTGTCGGAGCGAGCACAAAGTTAAGCATGCAGAAAACAGCACTCAGACTACTGTTTTCGTATTGTATTTCATTGTATCGCTGATAAAAGCCGTATGCCTATTTCTTGTAAAGGCGGAGCATGAAAAGCATTCCGCTATCTTATCGTCTTCAAAGCTGAAATGGCAAATGGGGTTGTCATGCATGCCTATCACAGTCAGGTCTTTGTGTAACGAGAAGTGACCAGTCAACAGTCCCACAAGTTATCTGGAGTCCCATCTGCGGTGCGATCTGCCTGGGGTTACCTCTACTTTGCATCTCAGCGGTCATAGAGGCATATTGTGATGCGTCCTTAAACTATCCCGAATATTTGAAGCATTCAGGCAGCGGAGAAGACATGCTGAGTTGCATGCTAATATGTATGTATCTTCAGCCCAACAGTGGGACATTTTCGAATAATTTTCTTCAAAAATGGCTGGAACAGTAGATTTTTTGCCGAATTTAATAACTTTTTTTTAATACTTGGAACCGGTTTTAGAAAAGATTGTCTAAGCCAATTAAAAAAAGGTGGGAACATTACAAAAAACCATCAAACTAAGAGTATTATATGGCATACTTTATCCAGAAAAATACGAGTTAAGAATAGCAGCCGCCATATTGGATCAGCCAAATTTGATCGGTCATTTTGAATTTCATGATTCGATCATCAGAACGGAATTCAACGACTTCAAAAACATTTACCTTTAGAATCTGAGATTTGTAACGAAGAAAAAAAACTTTTTAATGTTTTTTTTTTTGGAATTGTCCGACTTTCACCAAATGCTGATAAAAATAATTTGTTTTGTATTCGGGCTTGGACAATCTTTTCTAAAACCAGTCTCAAGTATTAAAAAAATTTCAAAAGTCTTCCACTGTCCAACGGCTCTCTTTCCAATATTGTTTTGAAAGTTTTCGGGGTGCAAGGTAGACTTGTGCAAGGTACAAGTCCTCAAGTTTTTTTTTCGAATTTGGCTGATTTGCAGATTTTTTGTTTTCAAGTGTAATTCGTTTGTTTTTTGATCGCCGCAACTTGCACCAATCTCTTAAACGAAATCATTATGTATGAAATCTCGCAATTTTGTACGCCAAATTTTAACTTTTTTTATTTTTTTTTATTAAGTAATACTTAACCTGCAATAACTAGATATTAAAAATGTATTCATTTAAAATTAGTTTGATTACAAATTATTTTTAAATATATATACATACATATTTATATATACATTTAAGCGTACAATATGCATGCCCACATACATATAACATGTGTTTTTAATTACGGCTATGTAAGTTTCTTTAGCATCTAAAGTTCAGATTATGCACTTGACTTAAGTTATAACATGTTACATGCATACTACGGTGGTCCTTAAAATATCAACTTCCAAATTTTATATGGAGAGCATCTTTATTTTGCTCTACGTACAAAACAAAAGGCATCCACGAAAATTTCAAAATTGTAAACAAATTTTTAGTGGTCGCTACCAGGGTTTGCACAATTTAAAATTAAAAAAAAAAATCCACAAACTCATCATAACTCAGTTAGTTTTTGAATTTAAATGAGCAAACTTCAATAGAAGTTATAGCTGGTCAAAGTAAAAATTTTGACAAATTTGTGCGATTTAAAAAAATAATAATAATTAAATTTTTTCAAAACTTGCCAGCGACCCATATTTTTTTTTTTTTAATTTTCGTGGATAATTTTAAAGGTGTGTTCCACCATTAGATGTTGATATTTTAGGGACCAGCCTAATATATACATATGTACATATATTTAATGCGATATATACATACGCGATGTCCAATCACTTAAATTGTACTTTAATAAGTTTAATGTAGGTTTAGTTACTCCTAGTTTAGTTTTTGAAGCGATTAAATTGCTTCTACGTGCCTGCTATTCTCGGAAGACATTCCTTTTATTTTTGTTTTTAAATTAGGTTTTTTTAAGATTCATATATTCGTAAATTAATATATAGATACATATGTATTAAATGCATGTGCTTAAAATACATATGTACATACAAACATACATATACTTGTGGCTATTATTATGTAAACTCATATTGCCTAAATAATTAAGTGAATAATAAAAAAAGAAACATATTTACACACATTCAAACCTATATTCATATATTGATTTGTTTTAATTTTTATTCTTTAAATCACATAGAGTTACTCGTGCTTAAAACGACGCATAAGGCTTAAAATAGAAACGTCGTTAAGAAGGCACTGTTTTATGTAAGAATTAAGTTTTAAGTTTGGAAGGTTGAATGCTATTAAACGTGTACATTGACTATATGTATATGTAATCTCATTTTCGAAGATAATACTTTCAGCGAAATTAGTGTCCTCCCAGTCGTCAAAATAAGAGAAAGATCTTCCTGGAGCCCGTCTTTTTGTTTTTATGAAGCAAAAACCTTTTCGTGGGCGATTCTTTACACCTTCTCATCCGCCTTCTATAAAAGGAGCTATACACACATCAATTTGTCAATCAACTTCAAATAAACTGTTGAGCTGTTCAAAGTCAAATGATTTTTGTGTTTGTGGCTCCTTAAAAACGGGATTATAAAAATTATTATATGTATTTTAAGACTTTCACCAACATATTTCGGACAAATTTTTAAATTTACTTGAGCTGGAACGATTTGAAAATTTTGTGTAGTATGTGTTTTTGTTTCAATTACATATCACTGTGCAATAATTTCAGGGTCACAGCCTGGGGACGGAATGATTCCAACTGAGGATGAACCACCTAGACCCATATAGTAAAACCCCCACAATTTTTTGCGTTTTTGGCAGTGTTGCCATTTTTTTTTTTTGATAAAGCTAACAAATTCAAAAATGTATCGGGCAAAATCCTCTAATAGCCTTCAAAGTAGGTTTAGTACTTAGTACTATGGTGTAATTAATGTTTTTTACCATTAAAGAAATAATTGCAAAAGGTACGAGCTTATCTGGGTTAAAAACACAAAATGAAACAACTGGTTTTCTTTCGTGCAAAAAAAGTAATTTCAATAAAATATTGTACTAATTATAAATGTATCCACTTTCATATACGATTTAATTCTTATAATTTACGAAAGAGTTATTAATATCATTTTTACTTTGGGAAACATCTAGAAGACTATCGCCAAATTGGCGATAAATCGGCCAACCTGTTCTCAGGTCAAGTTTTTTATGATATATAGTTTGGGTACACTCTCATTAAAGGGTCGTTTAGGATACTTTTTTGGAAAGGTCACTAGAAGATCACTAGAATTACTCCGGCCCCACTGTGTATCTGATGGCATTTTGAGGTGTCAAACATTTTTAATTATTTTTTATGTTTACACTTACGTATTAAATATACGCATTGTGTTTATATAAAGCTTCATACATACACATACTTACATATGTACATACTTACATTGGACCGTACCACAAACAAAAAGTTCACCTCGTGGACCTCGGAGCCCAAAGTACACAGTATTCACAGTCGAATCTTAAATTGTGATATTTCGATGTTTCTGTCTCATTGATCTCAAGTACCCCTTTCTAGTACATATCCACCAGATCTCAGTTCTTCTCATCCTAACGTACCGACCTAATGTTAGTAAATTAACACTGGAAAGATGGACAGGGGAATTTGACCCATTTTCATATTTGACTCTCAATATTTCTTTTGCCAGTTATTTTTCTAAATAGGTATTTCTTGACTTTTATTAAAATTGCATAAAATTTAATATAAAAGCCTTCGTATTTTATTGATTTGTTTAAACTTAAACATTTGAGCATATTGGCAAAAATTTGTATAATTCTTTTTTTACTAAACTAAGAAAATCAAAATGAAAATTTAAATTTTATAATATTTTTAAAATGTATAAATAGATTTTAATAAAATTAAGTTTAAAGTATTTATGACAAATGACCCCTGCCTTTCTTTCAAGGTAAGTCGATTTTTTGTTTTTTTATGAATAAACCCTTTTTAAATTAAAATTATAAGTTTTTGTTACTAAAATTAGATTTGAAGTAGTCAGCACAAATAGCCCCTGCCGTCTTTCAAGGTAAGTCGATTTTCCAGGCTATCTAGTGTTAAAGCTCTACAAAAATTATTAAACCTTTCTATGGAAGATTTTTGATTATTCCAGTAGAAATATTTAAAGAAACAGACCCGTAGGTTCGGTCAAGAAAAAAAATTTTTTTTTCGGATTTGCCTTGCAAAAATATTTTAAACTGAGTGGTTTACGGCGTTTACTTGCAAAGTGGTTCGGTCTAATGTACATATATGTATTGTATGAATATCAGAAATAATACACATATTTTACTCATATCGTACATGTTAATTAGTTTTTTTTTTTTAAATTAAGTATGTCAATAAATTGGAATGTTTATAGGCGGACATATCCACACCTACATATCGTCACCTGAAATGCAAAATAACGTAAAAACATCGTCACTGAATTGCAAAAAGTCGTAACTTATAAAATATTCAAAATTAACTTTTTGATTGCTATGATGAAATTCATCGAATTACACACATCGTTTTAGGAAAAAATAAATAAAAATTTGTCACGACTTTTTCCATTTCAGTGACGATGTTTTTACGTTATTTTGCATTTCAGGTGACGATATGTCGATCCAATTAACGATCAACTAAAAAAAAAAAATTTGGATGATTTTTTTGCATAAATCAATTTTTTTTACATATTACATTTTTTTATACACTAACTAAAAAACTACTATTATACCAGTTTTCGTATTAATTGTACGATATGCAAGCAGTCATATTTCCCGATCTGAGTTTTCAGTTAGCTCGCTTTAGATCTAGGTGTGCGATATGTATGCACATCGCCATAATGAAATGTACTTGAGTAGCAAAATTCATCAAATATACATATAGTCGTTTAAAGTAAAAAACCGCGTATCGCCGTTCTGTAAAACCGCGTAACTGACATTTTTTTCCAAAAATTGGATTTGGTCAGACAAGCTCTGGGCTCAAGCTTTATCCATTCGTTCTGAAATATATAAGTCCATAAATGTGATTGCGTTATAAAAAAGAGAAACATTTTGAAATAGGAGTGTTTTTACTCTCTAGAACA